TGTGTGTGTGTGTGTGTGTGTGTGTCTGTGGTGGTCATAAATAATTTTTATTGGAAGCGAGGCGCAGCAGATTACAGGCAGAGAAGATTCAGGTTTACAGGTATTTGGGGGGATTTGCTTCTGGTGGGTTTTACCCAGAAATCCTCTCATTTTTTATTCCCAGCTGCTCTTCAGGTCGATGAAAGTCACTCTGCTCCTAAAACCTGCTCCACACTCGTATCATCAAGGATAATTTCACCTTGTGAGACGTCCACTACCTTTTTTTTTTCATTATTTCTGGTCGATGCCTCACCTGATGCATTTTCTCTGTTCATACTGGAGGGATTGTTCCGTACAACAATAATAACTTTAATGTTAGTCTGGATCAAAACACAACAAAGTGCAGAAACTGAATTTGAACAGTTTTTAAGACTGGTTTGTTTATTTTGGTAATTGTAGTTTTGGATTTGTCTTCTTGATCCATTCTACAGTATGATGATAAATATCATTGGGCCTCNAACTTTTGGTTGCAGGAAACGATCCATATTTGCGCTGCGTCACGACGTGTTCCTCTCAGTTGCTTTACGGAAGTGATAATGTGCTAAGTTCAAATCACGTTGCATGATGTTTTTTTATTTATTTACTGAAATTAGAATAGTTTATTATTTTTTATTTTTGTCTTTAGGGAAAATACCACAATAACTTCGTGTTTAAAAAATTAATTAGATTAAATATTTTTTTATATATATTTCCTGGGGGTGCTATGGAGGTGCTTTGACTTTTCCAGGGGGAGCTATAGCGCCCTCTAGCGCCACCCTGGCGCCCCCACTGCAAGTGGCCCATTGTAATGAATGCCAAATGTCTGAAAAACATTTGGCAATCACTATAATGAGAAAGTTGGGAAAGTATATGAACTTAAGTGACTTGTTGCTCTTTCACTCATGACTCCATAATTTTTCACTCACTAAACTTAGACCATTTGAGATATAGAAAGGTTACAAGCCTTTTATTCCAAATGAAAGTAACATTTTGAGACGTGAAATAAAAAAATTTCTTGCATCTCAAAAATCTGATAAAAGCTCAAGTTAAAGGTTTACAAACCATACATTTGAATAATTTTTTATAAACAAGCTGATTATCACCTTGAATTGTTGACTTGAAGGTAAAAGTATGTTACTATCATAAAAATACGCATCACTACTATTTAAACATTATTTTATTCAAAGCAAAAATAAAACAAAAAAGTTGTTTCAAAGATATCTCTAGTAACATCACTCTGACAGCCAGAGTTTAAAGGTTCGGTCAAAGGAGCAGGTGGCAATTAGCTTCCCATCAGGTGATACGTCCACTCCCATCACCTGAAAATGAACCAATCAGTGCTTTTAGTCATACATCCTGTTCACACAGACCAATCAGAGTGCAGCATCCTTGTACCTTTCCTTCATGCCCAGCAAGAGTTTTCAGTGGCATCCAGCCCGGGTGACTCCAAACCTTTGCTGTGTTGTCATACGCTCCAGTCAATAGGAAGTGACCATCAGTAGCTGTAGAAGAAAGAAAAAATGAGATTGGACACAGAAAGAGATTTGGAGTTATAAAGWCAGGTGTAAAAAATTTAATAAAAAAAAAAACAACACTAAACCAAGTGTTTATGATTACGTTGAAAACGGACAGCTGACAGCAGGTTCTGGTGGGCGGGGACTGTGTACAGACACTTCCTGTTGCGCAGCTCCCAAACTTTACAGGTGTTATCACCACTTCCTGTTGCCAGGTGATGGCTGTGAGAAGAAACAACACAACAGATCAATAAAACATTTCAATGTTGTACCATAGTTTGTAACTGAAAACCATCTTCAATTCTTCAGTTTCAGCTGACAGAAACTGATTGGTAGTTGTTTGAGTGAACTGCTCTTTGGTTGGTTTTCTGCTTGTCATGTGATTGGCTTACCCGTTAGGGCTGAAGTGTAGGCTGTAGATCTCCTTCAAGTGTCCCTCAAGGAAAACAACACAGCGTCCCGTTCGCAAATCCCAGACCCTGCCAAAGGCATCCAGCCCTCTGATTGGACCAAAACCACAAGAATTATACATTAGATTTCTGATTGGACCAGAACCAGAAGAAACAGGTGATTCGTCAGATCAATCCAAAGATTCCATCTGCATTCCTCTCACGCACATACTGTATGTATGTACTCTGTCTTGCTACTACTGAATATCATTTCTCTTTGGAAAGTGTATACTTGCACCTCTTTAACTTTTCTTTCACATATTAGTTATTTCATTGTTGGAATGGGAAAAAATAATTCCCCAAAAGTCACCTTATTGTGACAAATTTGGTAGAAATCTACACTATTACATTGTGATATAAACATTGTGCTTTTTAAAGTACCATAGAGTTTGGTCATTATGGAATTTAAAATAATGCATTAGTCTGATAAGATAAGATAAGATAAGATAAGATAAGATAAGATAAGATAAGATAAGATAAGATTAGTCATGACACCTTGGAGGGTTGCTGGACTAAGTGGAGTGGCAGGAACCATGGCTCCAACAAGAGAAATGTCTCTTGAAACAAAAGAGAGGATTGTGAAACTTCTTGAAGAAGGTAACTCTTCACATATGGTTGTTAAAGATGTGGGCTGTTCTCAGTCAGCTGTGTCCAAGATATGGACCAAATACAAATAGCTCAATGGTTGTTAAAGCCAAGTGTACTGGTAGACCAAGAAATACATCAAAGCTTCAAGACAAACAACTTAAGGCCATTTGTCTTGAAAACTGAAAAAGTACAACTAAACAGATGAAGCATAAATGGGAGGAAGCTGGAGCCAATGTATGTGACCAAACTGTAAGAAATGACCTAAAGGAAATGTGATTTCAATCCAGGAAAGCTAAAAGAAAACCATCATTGGCACCTAAACAAAAAGAACAAGACTGCAATGGGCTAAGGAGAGGCAACCATGGACTGTGGATGACTGGATGAAAGTTATCTTCAGTGATGAGTCAAGAATCTGCATTGGACAAGGTGATGATGCTGAACTTTTGTTTGGTGCCGTTCCAGTGAGATTTATGAAGAGGACTGCCTGAAAAAAACAACCACATTTCCACAGTCCTTGATGATATGGGTCTGCATGTCAGGCAAAGGCACTGGGGAGATGACTGTGGKTYATTCTTCTAYCAATGCACAAGTTTACATTGACATGTTGGACAGTTTTCTCATCCCTTCACTTGAACAGATATTTGGAGGTGATGAAATCATTTTCCAAGATGACAATGCATCGTGCCATAGGGCAAAAACAGTGAAGGCATTCCTTGGAGAAAGACATTCCTGCAAATAGACCAGATCTCAACCCAAYTGAAAACCTGTGGTGGAAAYTGAAAAAAAAAWGGTCCASAAGAAGCTCCGACCTGCAAAGCTGATCTGGTAACTTCTATCAAAGAGAGTTGGCACCAAACTGATGAAGAATACTGTTTGTCACTCATCAAGTCCATGCCTCAGAGACTGCAAGCTGTTATAAAAGCCAAAGGTGGTGCAACTAAATACTAGTGATGTATGTTGAATGGTCTTTTGTTTATCTGTTTTTGATTCCATACTTTTTTTCCTCAGAATTGAGTGATTCCATATTTTTCCCTGTACTTGGTCAATAAAAGTAACATTCACTGACTTCCACAATGTTTTCTCTTCATTTCTTTGAGTGTTCCTGAAAGACAACAAGTTGACCTTTGGAATGACCTTATTATTGTATCATGTTTTTGATCTGAGTTTGTTTTACAGAATGAAACGTCTGAATGAGTGCTCATCCAACACTGCTGATTCCATACTTTTTGCCAGGGGTTGTATAATTCATTCACACAATGATAGCAAAATACAATGTTCAGAGATGGGCATCGAGGGCCAAAGTCCTGCATGTTTTAAGGCTTCTTCATACTCCCACYGAACTGCCGACGTCGGCAAAGGTTGTCACAGTTTCACGATGAAAATTATGTCACCAGGCCTCGCAGCGTCGGCTTGGCAGCCCCTTTTGGCATAACCCGCTGGCAGAACTTTTGACCCCCCTCCCGTGACGACGGTAATGTGTGATTGGTCTGAAGTTCGTGGGCGTGTGTTTGTTTGTGCTGAAAGCGCAGGGACACTTAAAAAAAAACTTGCTTCCAGAGCTGACATTTACCAGGAAGCAGAGTTTTATAAAGATAGTCAAACCGTAAAAAAATCATGAATGGAGATAAAACAGACGTTGTGCGAGGAGGAATCTGACTGATAAAAACTGTGGAGCTTTAACCAGGACAGATTGTAGATAAATAATGTCGGGTGAGTGACGAGTCTGACTTTTTTTTTACATTGCCGTCTGTAGCGGGAGGAAACTCCATGCAGTGCTGTATGTTGCAGGGGGAGGGGTTTCCCAGGATCTCGGAGCTGTGTGTCTCTGGAGCTATGAAAGGTCTCTGCGAAAATGAATGCTGAACAACCACGTAATCGCACGTCGACTCGTTGGTGTCGGAGCGAGTATGTTTCAGGCTTTACTTGTTTCTTTGCTTCAACACACCTGATTTAAATGAATGGGTGATTATCAGCCTTCTGCAAAACTTGGAGGTGGTAATCAAATGACTGAATCAGATGTTTTGGAGCTGGGAAAAAAGTAAAACATGCAGGGCTGTGGCCCTTGAGGACCAGAATTGCCCACCCCTGATGTACAGGGTATATACAAAAATTACAAAGTTAAATTTAACACCTTTTTAATACTGTCCCAATACTTTTTAATACCAACACGACTTCAAGACCTGAACCTATTATTAGTTACTAGATTCATAGTTACTTCTTTGCCATAATAAAACACTGACCTATATACAATTATTTGTTATTTAACCCTAAATAAAGACAAAAAGTGTTTTCATTATAAGGTGTAGGGATATCAGTGCTGTCAGCAACAGGTCATCTGCTCTCACATGCCCCTGGAACTCAGAACCAAAATACACTGATGTCACACACCCATCCTCTAAATCAGTGGTTCCCAAAGTTGATTTGATTTGATTTATTTATTTAACAGGAAAAGATTGAAGAAGTTGGGGTCGGGACCCTTTTGTGGGTCACAAAAAATCAAGTGAGGGTCCCCCAGATGATTTGTAGACATTAATTTAAATGCCAAAATAAATAAATAAATTGCTATATGATGTTTTCATCATGATTATTGCAATTTTTTWAAATAATCATAATAATAATCATATAATCATAAATGAATAAAATTAGTACTGTAGTTATTAGGTTTATTTATATTGTTATTAAATCCCATGTTTTACAGAGTTATTAGCAAAGTTTGCCAATGAGAACAAGTAATATCTGGGGTCACAAAAGTGCCTGCAACTGTTATTTTGTGGGCCAGAGACCAAAATGTTTGGTAATAACTGCTCTAAATAACATTCATCTGTTTTTATGAAAGACTTCTTTATAGCACCCTCTATATGTGGACATAATTGATTATTTTTCTCCTACGTACACTCAGACCATCGTTACTACCATGTAAATAACTTAACCATATTCTTTGCGGATTGGGCTGCAGTATGACGTTTACAGACGAACAAAAATAAAAATAACAGAAAAAAATGAAAAACTGAACAGTTTCAAGTGGGTTCCATTCTCAGCTGGATGCATGGAAACACTGCTGCCTCCTCCTTGAACATATCTGTTTCTGACCAATCATCCAGTAATGAACTGATGGTGGCAAATTGAAAAACTAATCTATCAACAAATTATAGCTCCCAGTTTGGGTTCTGAACTCACCTGAAGGACGCCTCAAGTAAAAATGAAACTTTACTAATAAGAAAATCAGTAACAATATACAGTGTATGAATTAGGGCTGCCATGATTAGTCGATTAGTCAACGATTAATTGACTATTAAAATAGTTGATGACTAATTTAATTAGTCGATAGTCGTTTTCTTGTTTTTTACTGTTTTGCCTCTCCAAACTGGTTTGACASCTTCCACTGCCACGTCTACCTTTCTGTCCTTGACACACATGCACAGTAGTGGTAACTGGGGTAGGCCGTGGACGTCACAAGACATTATACAGACAGGCTCTGGTATCATGGCTACCTGACAACAGAGCTCAAAGTGTGGGATCATTTTAAGAAAATGAAAGAGAAACCTGTGTAATATCTGCAGAGCAGAACTTACCTTCCACAGCTGTTATTTTTAGTTAGCATATAGCTAAACTCTAACCATGGTTATATAATAGCAGCTGCATTCTGGTGTGATGAGCTCTATGTTTTATATTCAATTAAAGTATGATCTGATTAGTCGACTAATCGAATAAATAATCAGTGATTAATCGATTATTAAAATAATCGTTTGTGGCAGCCCTAGTATGAATATTAAAGTACTACAGAGTACTACAAGCAAAAAACAGAAAACTCACCCTGTGGCAGCTAGTGAACCATCAGGATGGAAGCTGATGTCATGAACTCCTTTACTGTGACCCTCCTGATGGAGGATCTCCTCCTGAACCTCCAGGTCCCATAGACGCCAGGAGTTATCGTAACTGTACACAAGAGTACACAGACAGTCACTGCAAAGTAYACAGATAGTTACTGCAGAGTACAGACTGTTACTCTGACCCCTCTGATGAAGGATCTCCTGGTGAGGCCTTAGATCCCACAGGTTATTGCAACCAAACACAGAGTATAGATCTTTTGCTGCAGAATATACAAACTGTTACAGAGTACACACACTGCTTCTATCGGTGTGCTATATTAACTGGAAGTGGCTGGCTGTCGCGACATGTGAGGGAAGTGCTGGGAAAAAGGTTGCTGGAGGCATGTTAAAGGGGACCTATTATGCAAAATTCACTTTTTAAAGGTTTTTTTACTCAACTTTGGGTATGTACTTCTTAAAAAAACAGTCCTAGGACCAAAAAAATGCACCAGGGGCAAATTTACTGTAAGTAAATGTATTTTTAATGTGTATTAACGACAAGTTTTAAACTTCCGTCATTTTGTGATGTCACAAGCCGTACAACAACCCACCAGAACCTGCGTTCAGCCCCTCACCTAGTAACCCCCGGGTGAAACTCCTGCACAGCTCATTTCACAACAAGCCTCCAACAGGGCAATGGGTAGAGTGTTGGACCAGAGAGAGACCAGGGTTTGAGACCGGCATGGACACAATTTAATTATTTATTTTCATTCATTATGAACACATTTTCTCATGAACCTCTATTGTTTATCTTATTAAAGCCTTGTTAAAGCCTATTTGTTYGAGTTTCTGAGGTATTTTGACCGCTGCTGCTCCCTGCTCTGGTAACAGCATGCAGAGTGAGCGCAGAGCAGAGGAGGGAGAGAAAAARAAGAAGCTGGGACCACGACTCTGCCTCTGGGTCTCATATGGTTGTACAATGGAGCTTCTGCTATTATTAGCCATGCTAACGTAAACACTGGCTTTGGAGGGCGGAGTTAATGTCAACAGATTTTTGGAGGGCGTTACCAACAGAGCTCATTAACATAAACAGCTCTTCTGAACAGAAGTCAGAGCAGGCAGAACTAGAAAATGGGAAATTTTATTATCTGAGAATTATTTTGTGCATTAAATTGAATGAAGATGGTCTGGATAGGCCACAGACATACCATAAACATTTCTACGACCCATAATTGGTCTCCTTTAATTATTTTTGATGTATTTAATTGTAACATGATTTGCATTATTTATTAATGATTTGTAGTGACTGTGCACATGAATTTATACTGGTCCTGTTTTCATATAGGTCAAGTACTGATGGAGAAGCTACTGAAGGCAAGAAAGCCTGAAGTTACTCAGCCCAGAACTCACCTGTTGAACATCACCTGCTGTGGTTGGGCCGGTAGGAGGCTTCACAACTGCACCTTTTGAATTATTGTTCCTTTGCAACTTGTTGATCACGAATTCTCAACATAAACTCTAAGTCCTTCCCCAACTTTCAAATTCCCTAGACTTTTTTTCTGTTGGGTCATTGAACTGGATGTGTTGCACATAGCATACACTGCTGCTTGGGCTTCGACTATTCTCAAGTGTGGAAATGATAAAAATGAAATGATATATATATTGTTGTCTGTTCTGCATAATATATATGGTAACAACAATAACAAAAAAAAAACCAACAATTTTCCTGTGTTCAGTCTTACTGGGCTCCTAGAATCAAACTTTGAGAAGCTTTGGGGTCTAGCCTAAGACAGTATATTTTGAGCAACACACAGGTAACAACTACTTTAAAATTGTTCCACAGCTGAATGGTTGAAATGTAGACACAGCTGGGTGTTTCAACATAATAATTATCCCAAACATCCATCAGAACTGGTTTCTGATTGGATAAACCAGGCTAGCTTTAACGTTCTGTAATGGTTAAAGTCCAGACATCAAACTACTTCAAACAAATAATAAATTTACCATGTAAAAAATAAACTCAAACTTAGATTTAAAAAACAAAGTTCATTGTTGTAGAATCATTGTATCCTGGAAAAAGAACAGTCCAGATAAATCATTAAGACTAAATTTGATCTTATCTATTTGTTCATGATCAGTGGATGGAAACATGACTGAAACTGTAAAACTGATACTTTCAATGATCAGGTTACTCAGAAGAATCAGAACCAGTGTTAGTCTGGGTCCAGTTTACCAAGTCGTTCCCAGAAACCTTCCAGAAGGATGCCAGGAAACCCGAGACACTCGATCGCTGTGACCCTCAATGTCTGCCACCGGCTCGTCGCTGTGGTAAGCAGACACACATCATCAGTGTCAGTTCAACAGTCACCCCAGGTACCACCACCACCACCTCACCTCTCCAGGTTCCACAGCTTCACCGTCCCATCAGCAGCACACGAAGCCAAGCTGACATCTGATTGGTCAAGAGAAATGCTGGCCTGTGGACGGAAGACGATGGCGCCAACGTTTGTGTTGTGTCCTTTGGCCAATCAGAGAGCAGGGAAACAGGGCGGAGCTTAAGTTAGTGATTTTTACACTGTGGTGAAATCTGAATGTTTAGTCCTCTGAAAAAGAAGTATTAAATAAAAACTAAAGGCAATAAAAACTGRAAGTAAACAAACAACAGGCTCTGTCAAGTTTAACCAACAAACAGAACTCGGTCGAGTGAAGCGCTGCTCACCTCTGAGTGTACGAATCAGGTTGCAATCAGGAACAGACCACAGTCTACACAGACCGCTCCTGTGGGTTAGCATGTTAGCATTAGCACAACATGCATGACAGTATATGAAACACTGTTAGTGGGTGTGGCTTGTTACCAGGAAGCTGTAGCCAGCATTTTAGAGTCCGGGCTGAAGTGGCAGAAGCTGATTGGTCGATCATCCCCGATCTGACTGCAGAAGTTGTTCAGGTTCTAAAGAATAACCAGAAGAAATGTTTCAGAAGCTAACAACCATCAGAACCTGCAGTTAATGAGCAGAGGTCAGCTGTTTGCTGGTRACGGTTCTCTGTCACCAAGCTCACGATCAATCCAAAAACAACCTTTCCTGACCCGTGGACATCCTCACTGGACTTCTGTCCAATCAGTGAAGAAACATCCATGTCTAACATTCTGCTCACTAATATGTGGAAGTGTTTTATTCATTATTTATTTTGAACTGCATGACTAAATCTATTTTCCACACCTTATTTTAGTTACTCTGTAAATTATAGCTAAGAATCTCCACCCGCGGGACAACATTCACCTAGTAGTGACTGTTATGGAAATATTTATTTAAGACAGAAATACGTGGTCCAAGAATGAAGGTACTCTGTGAGATGATCAGCTGAGTTTTATTACAACAACAGGAAACACAGAGAACAACCTGCCCTGTCTCTGTGCCTCTGCTTCTCTCTGTCACTCCACTGCTGTCACTCTTGAGAGGCCATATACTTTAACACCATTATGTCATCTTAGCAAGATTTCATACATGGTCAAGGGAAAACACAAAGATAAACACAAGTGATGTCTAAGAATGACTGTTGTTTTCTGTCTGCAGATGAACAGCATGTCATGAAAACCTAGGTCATTAAAGGATGTCATGAATTACTGGCTTAAACATAAAAGTATTAGTTCCAGGACAGTGACCAATCTGCATTAATTAATGATATTTCAAATGTTTTGGATATAATTTGCAATGAAAGAAAAAACTGTTATATAATGGGTGACTTTAACATTAATATTGGAAATAATGAGAGGAATATGTTAATCAGGAATTTACAGACTCTATGTATTCCTATAGTTATAATCCTTTAATTACAGTCCCCAACCAGAGTGACTACTACTTCAGCAACTCATTTAGACAATATTATAATACTAATGTGTATAACAGAACTATGGAATCTGGTGTCCTGTGCGTTGATGTGGCTGATCACTGTCCCATCTTTTTGATCACTTAATGAGTGAAAAATGTCCCCCTTTACAAAACATTAAATATAGACAAATTTTCAGTGAAAGAAATGTAAATTTCAGACACACTGTCAGTTATCATGTTATGTCATGTTCATACTGTTCTAACTGCTCATTTCTGTTTCTCCCACACTACCCTTATCAGTCTATGTATCTACAGTTGTTTCTATTCTAGTGTCCTTGGGTGTCCTGAAAGGTACTTTATAAATAAAATGCATTATTATTATTATTATTATTATTATTATTATTATTATTATTGTCATGGAATGAAATCTATCAAACAGATACTCAGAAGTCACTGTTTTCACTGTTTATAAAAAAATGTTACTCGGGTTTGTAAGTCATGTTTTCCTTTACAGTCAGTGTCTTGAAAAAAACAAATTGTCCAAACCATGGATAACTTCAGCTATTATAAAGTCACTGAAAAATAAAAATAGATTATATAAAAATACCTCCTCTGTCCTACCCCATTTAATCTGTTGCAGTTGTGACGGCCCCTGCTGAGTACTATTATTGCTGGCAGGTGCGTCCTTTTCTCTGCTTCCTTTTAAGGTCCTGCTGAGGTGGAGTCGCAGTGACCTGGAGCGGTGTTGTGGCTTTTAAAGAGCCAGGTCATAACACAGTTTAAAAATATAGAAACAGACTAAATYGTGTCATAAGGGAAGCAAAAGGCCACTATTACAATGTGAAATTAGTTGAACAAAAGAACAATACATCTTCCTAGTGGAGAACCATCAATTGCAATCCTTAAAAAACAAATTCTAAAAAGCAGTTACCAAATGAATTTAAGATTGACGATTCTACGTATAGTCTCAGATTCACAACAAAATGCTGAAAGATTTACTGCCTTTTTTTCTGACATAGGTCCATTATTAGCCACTAAGATTCCATCAGGTCATTTCGGACCCTCAGAATCTATGAATTCTCCAATTTCTGAGGATTTTAAATTTACATCTGTTTCTGAGGATGAAAGTAGAAAAATATTTATTTATTTAAAAGACTGTTCACCAGGACATGATATGATTAACAGTAAAATACTCAAAGCTATCTGCCCCGATATCATCAAACCATTACTTTATATTTTTAATCTTTCCTTAGACCAAGGTGTTGTGCTTGTAGAGTTTAAAATAGAAAAAATTACACCAGTTTATAAAGATGACCCTGCTATTGTTAACAATTATAGACAAATTTCCAGGTCTATAAAGTTCTTGAAAAGAATAAGTAAGGAAAATACCAAAAAAGAAAGTAAAATTACAAAGTAAAAGTAAAAATTCATGAACAGAAAATGACTTTTGTAAAAATAAATTTCACTGATGAGAAAACTACTAAGTAAAAGCAATAAAACTGCTCACAAAAATTGGGAAAGTAAAAGTACTTTTACACATGCTCTAAGAAATAAACTGTTGAATTTACTGAACCAAACTGGTTCCACTAAGCCAGGCTGAGTACTCAACTAGGCTCAGTGGAACCAGCTGACACGACTTTGTTGAGTAAATACAACACTTCATTTTTTAGAGCAGAAACGTCTTTCATGAGTTTCAACATATTTCATTAGTAACGAGTAACTAGGTGTTACATTTTCAAGTAAAGAAGTAAAAGTATCATTTTTAGCTTTTTAAAATGTAGCAAAAAAGTAAAAGTAGCTGTTTAAAAAATATAATTGGCAAAAKTACAAATCCTTGGGGCGGCTGTGGTGTAGTGGTAGAGCAGCCGGCTTTGGGACCCGCAAGTCACAGGTTCGACTCCCCGCCATGCCTACATGCCGTTGTGTCCTTGGGCAAGACACTTCACCCACCTTGCCTACTGATGGTGGTCAGAGGGGCCGGTGGCGCAGCATGGCAGCCCCACCTCTGTCAGTCTGCCCCAGGGCAGCTGTGGCTACAATGTAGCTTACTGCCATCAGTGTGTGAATGAATGATGCATGAAAATTGTAAAGCGTCTTTGAGGGTCTCGAAAAGCGCTATATAAAACTAATGCATTATTATTATTGTTATTATTACTTATTTACTATAAACCTCTGCCAATTTCTGTGTTGCCAGCCTTGTCCAAAATTTTAGAAAAACTTGTTGACAAGATTAATTTAACATTTGGACAAAAATAATATTTTATATGCTCACCAGTATGGATTTAGGAGACTAATATACAAAGCAAAAGACAAAAAAGAAAACACTAAGTTATTTTCCTGGATCTTTCAAAAGCATTTGATTCTGTTAATCATATCATTCTGTTTAAAATACAACGGTATACAAAATATGTCACTACTTTGATTCTGTCAGGTTTTGCAGGAGGAATGAACCCAGGTTCGGACGGAGAAGTTTATAAAAGTAAGATATTTATTTTAACAAAAACTAAAAAAATAAAATAAAATAAAAGCTGGCAGGGCAGTGTTTCTATCAACGTGTTTTAATGCGCATTTGGAAGTATTGAATACAGAAAAATAATTTCCCCCAATCATTGTGAAAATAATTTATTCTCCTTCTTTTAATGTTTGTGTTCCCTCTACTCAGAGGTAAACAAACTGAATATCTGTGCCYTAAAAGTTTCATTTTCTGAAGGGTGGGAGTCAAGGGGTGGAGTTAAGTGTGTGTCCCTGTGAAGCTGCAGCTGCAGGACGGACAGAATTAGTATTTAAGGATTCTTAGTGTTAAGAATTTTGATAATTTGTTTTACACTTTAGTCTGAGAGCAGCAGCACATTTAAGAAGTTCTCAGAACTTGTCTAAAACTCTATTCTAAGAAGTTTGATAAAAACAGGCCCGGTAGATCCCAGTGTGTAAAAATTAACAGTGAATTATCTTCAAACACCAGAGTTAGTCATGAAGTTCCTCAGGGTTCAGTGTTTGGACCAACTCCACATTATTAAATCTATGGACTGAACCAGACCTTCTGAAGACCTGTTGCTGTTTAATGAACAGGACTGTTGGTTGATCTCCAGTGATGCTCACATGGTTTGAGTTAACTGTGTTGTGTAGAGATGGAAACATTGTATCCACTTACCCTCAGGGTTTTGTGCAGCTCCTGTTGGCGGATCGTCTTTGTGGCCTCAGGAATATCCTTCTGAGCGCGTGCAGCTTCCAGACGCCTCATGGCCCTGTTGGACCAATCAAAGCAGGCGGATATGAATGACAGCCAATGAGAAGCTTTAAAGAAAGTTCTAAAGTCTGACTTTATTGTGTCTGTGACGTAAAAATGTTGTAATATCTACAAATGCAAAATATGACAATAAGAATATATTGCAAAATACATTTGTGCTGCTGAGTTAAACATTTATTGAGACGTTCTCATGTCCAACAGGAAGAGACGACAAAGAGGAATGTTCATAAACAAACATGTCACCAGGTCTACTTCCATCCAGTGTCTGACCTTCTCCAGCACGTCCCAAAGATTCTCAGTGGACTCTGTGGAGCCAATCCATTTGTGAAATAATGTATCATGCTCCCTGAACCACTCTTTCACAATAAGAGACCCATGAATCAGAGAAGTCATCAGAGAAGAAACAATCATTGATGGAATCACCTGCTCATTCAGTATATTCAGGTAGTCAGCTGACCTCATTCTTTGAGCTGAACCTAGACCTGACCACCTTTAGAGACCCACATCGTAGACCTGACCACCTTTAGAGACCTACATCATAGAGCTGACCACCTTTAGAGACCCACATCGTAGACCTGACCACCTTTAGAGACCCACATCGTAGACCTGACCACCTTTAGAGACCCACATCATAGACCTGACCACCTTTAGAGACCATATCATAGACCCGACCCTCTTGTAAGTAGACACTGGGTATGATGGGTGCATCATTTCACCTGCACCTCTTCTTACCCTGATGCCCCCATCACTCTAGAACAGGGTCAGTCTAGACTCATTAGACCACATAACCTTCCATTGCTCCTTAGTCCAATCTTTATTCTCTCTAGCAAACTGAAGCCTTTTTTCTGGTTTTCCAATGGTTTGAGCCTTCTCAAACAGTCCGACATGTTTTCCACGACCACAGGATGTTAAAGAAATGAGAAGCAACTCATTGACCAGTTAGGGTTAAATAACCAGTTGCCAGCTGAAAGGTAATCACTCATGCAGTAATTATCCAATAGGATGCAAAAAAAAAAAGAAAGGTGTGTTATGGTTGATCCTCGGTTTAAATTTGAAAAACATGTTAGCACCGTTATCAAAGCCAGTTTCTTCCAGTTGAGAACACTTGCTAAGATAAAATCGTATCTTCCTTTGGTTTTGAGAGAGCTATTCATGCATTTATCAAACTGTGCTTAGATTATTGCAATTCTTTGTATGTAGGGCAGGACCTGAGTTCTCCACAGCGATTGCAGAGGGTGCAAAACACTGCAGCCTGWTTGTTGACAAAAGCAAGGAGACATGAAATATTAGCCCCATTTTCTGCACCCTTCATTGGCTCCCTGTTGCCTTCCCTGTATATTTTAAAGTTTTATTGATAGTTTTTAAATGTTTAAACTATTTGGACCCATCTTACTTAACTGAACTTGTGCAGCTCTACACCCCACCCAGAGCCCTGAAGTCAGCCAACCACCTTTTTTTGGCCGTCCTATAGCCAGGTTAAAGACCAGAGGAGACAGAGCTGTGGCTGTGGCTATGGCAGCACCCAAACTGTGTAACAGTCTCCCTTTGTCTGTTAGGCTCTGTCAGTCMCTGGGTCAGTTTAATCCAGACTGAAGACACATCTGTTGACCCTGGCCTTTAACACTAGTTAAAGGAAAAATTTGTACTTAATTTGATTTGAGTTCTTGGGAAATTGTTGCAACTTATATCAAGTACGTTTTTGGTTTTTCTTTGTATTACTATTTTTTGGTATCTTACGGCCAATTCTATTAGTGTTTTTATCTTTTTAACAAATTTCAGTTTTATTGTAATTTTATGGGCATGTGTGCATGTGTGGACGTGTGTGTATTGTTTTATCTTAGCTAAATGTGATGTGATTGCTGTGAAGCACTTTGGTCAATTGAGGTTGTTGTAAATGTGCTGTATAAATAAAATTTGACTTGACTTGGATGTACCAAAAGAACACAAAAACATGTCTCATTTCACAAGTAAACAGATTTGATATTTTTTCCATCAATGTGGATGTGATCTGAGCAGAACTGAAGCTAATAATGTAAGAGTTTAAACTTAAAATAAGCTTATGAAAATGCTGTAATCGCTAATTATTGAAGTGGTTAGCAGATATTAGCTTGTGGAGCATATTGTTATACAGAATGTAGCACTGCTGAGTCATGCTACTATTTAATACTTATTAAATATTACAAGCTGATTTGTCCTGATTCATGTACTGTTGATATAGTGTAAAATAATATTATAAATATCTGATTAATATTTAGACCTACAGAGTGTAAAATAATATTATAAATATCTGATTAATATTTAGACCTACAGAGTGTAAAATAATATAAATATCTGATTAATATTTAGACCTACAGAGTGTAAAACAATATGAACGTCTTAATATTTAGACCTACAGAGTGTAAAATATTACAAATGTCTGATTAATATTTAGACCTACAGAGTGTAAAATAATATAAATGTCTCTGATTAATATTTAGACCTACAGAGTGTAAAATAATATAAATGTCTCTGATTAATATTTAGACCTACAGAGTGTAAAATAATATAAATGTCTCTGATTAATATTTAGACCTACAGAGTGTAAAATATTATAAATGTCTGATTAATATTTAGACCTACAGAGTGTAAAATAATATTATAAATGAGTATTTTTAGGTTTCTGTTAAGAGGAACCTGACTTGCTGAGAAGATGTTAGCTAATAGAGACAAGTTTCATCCTATAACCAGAGCTTATTTTCTATTGACTGGTAAATATTTATTATTTTTATTATTTCTGAAAGTAAGAAATATTAAATGTACTTTATTACTCGCTGAAGTCATATTTTTTCAACTAGTTAAAATCTAAGTTTCTGACTGACTTCATATCTGGTTTAGATCATTATTTATAAATTATCTGCTGTTTGACATGATTGTTAAATGAAATACATTTATTAATTTAGAGTAAACATTACAGATAATTTGTGACAGAAGCAGTCGTGCTTGCTTCCTGTCACCTGTGAGCCGACGCCCTGTTTTTCACTCCTCCATGTTGTCACACATGCTAACAGTGGGCGGGATGGGCGGGGCTCCTGCCACATCCAAGTGTTCAGGACTTACTGAGGCAGGGAGTATCTAGCCAACCAGAGTCGAGCTTCCTTCAGGGAGGTGGGGCCTTCATGGTACCACGTCTGCTGGCACTGTGATTGGTCAAAAAAAAAAAACAAAGATTGTTTCTGTAGGTGAGATGTTTCACTCTGAGCTAACTTTTGTTAATTAACACACATTATGGAGAAAATTAGCTGCATTTAATTTAATTTATTTTGTTTCTTTACTAGGCTCTCATGTTCCTAAATGGAAAAATCAGCCACAATGAAAAACATGATAAATACAACCTTTGGATGCCATACTCATCATATAAACTAAGTTTATGTGTTTGTATTTTACTTCCCTCTCTATTATTTTGATTTTTTATTAGTTCACATTTTGATGCTTGGCTTTTACACTTGTAAGTCTGTAAAATTAGCAGTTGGTCTTCAGACTCTTTTACAGCTGGACTTACTGTGGAGATCCGTGTTTCATCTCATCCAACAAAACTATTTGGATGAAGAGCAAGAACACACTTGTGTTGTGCACAAGTAAATATTTTGTACAAAAGTCAGTTCTACATGCAGGCCCAGCACTACTGCGGGGTACTAAAGGGACCTACAGAGTAACTTGCATGACTGCTGACCTCATCGCGGGACCTTTTGACCCTCTCTTCATCTTTCCTGGACTTCTTCAGCGCATCTGGACCAACCACTGACAGCACACTGCGCAACCTGAAAACAACAAGTAAACAAAGCCATCTTAGTAGGGATGGGCGCCGGTAAGATTCTATCAGTACTACTACTCGTATCAAGATTGCATCAATACCATTTTTTAATTTTATTCCTGTGGGATTAAAACATAATCTGTCAGAGTTTTTTCTGACAGTCTGAACGTGACAAATTACTTTTTTCTAATCCAATCCAGGGGTCTCATTTATAAAGGATTGCGTGGAAACCATACTAAAAGTGAACGTACGGCCAAAAGGCGGAAATGGCGTACGCCAAAAAAATTCAGATTTATAAAACCGTACGTACGCATGTTTCTGTACATCTTTCATTTATAAATCACAGCCACATGTCAGAGTTCGCACTCAAGGTCCCGCCTCAGGTTCTACCCTCTACACGCCCGCATTCAACCATAAAC